TTTTTTTAAATTTCCCTGAAATCTTGAGGTCAAGAGAAAACTACCCATAATTCCTTTCACGGTTGTCTCATGCACTTTTACGCTTTTTTTCCGACAACCTTTCTAGAAATAGTAGGGTTCTGATCGTGATTTGCATATTAACATGCATATGAAAATTTTTTAAACTAGATGTTTATTAGCATCAAACTGCTGAACTAGCTCGTGCTGTTGCCATGCACAGAGGCATAATTTAGATGGACCTTTTTAAAAGTTGAATGTCAAAGTGGCCAAATTAAAGCTTTCTTGAGAAATCGAACGGCGAAAAGGCAATCGTAGTTTATTTATAATCTGATAACAAATTAAAACCATATCACTCAATCTTTCATGTGCATGGTACGTGATTAAATGATATACTTCGAGGGAAAATTTGTCTTTTCTAATGTTAATTATATAAAGCCTGGTGTAAATAAAAACATACCCAAAGAATGAGATGAACTATCGATACTAAAATATCTTCAGGCGAAAAAGCGTTTTTTATCTTTATAAATTTAGGAAATAAAATCAAAATTATCATTCCAGTCAAAAAAAGGAAACTGATCCGAACTTTCATTTAAAGTAAATAATTTAAATAAAAGGTTGATTTAATTTCCGTGGAGGTCATCTGGATGCTAGATTGTTTTGTTCTTTAGTGTTGGATGTTGACATTTTATTTCGGCATATTTTAAGTATTTAGGTCAGTTACAAATTAAATCAGTGACCCTATCACTCTTTCCGCTTTTGAATTTCGCTTTGAGGAAGTTCCTTTGTATTAGTCAAGCATGAAATTTTTTACAAAAAGTTTTTCACAGAGCTGTATGAAACTATATAGACACCGGCGGAGAGTTCTGTAATTCGCCGAGTTTAATTAAATCACTTTTAGATCACATCTTTATTTGCTTTCATAGGTGACCATTTAAGAGTGAAAATCACTTTCTCTCGAGTAAGGTAAACATGGTTATATCCTCCTTCTAAGTTTATCACCGTGGATCAAATTAACATGCTAATTTTATACTCATCTATAATGGTTAAATTATGAAGAATAAAACCGAGTACACTGGCAGAGATAACACAATACCGTGTTTTACTTGGATATCGACGCTTTGGCTAATTTTGACCTAAATATTGTATAAATTGAACCAGACGAAATTCAAAATTGTTTATACCTTCATAATGTTTATACCTTATACAGAAGATTACCCTAACGTAGAGCACTACTGCTAAACGAAAGCTGCGCGAGAAATCTTGATCCATCTGAACTGAAAAGCCCTTCATACCGTTTACCGAGACCCAGATGTGCAAAGTATTGTGGGCTGCCTTTCGTTTTCTTAAGTGACCTACAAATTGTATTTTTAGCTGCTACGATTTAAAAGTTAGGTGTTGGGTCACTTATGCTACAGTTTACGACCAGTCAAAACTAACAACTGAGTTTTGGAGCTAAGATAGGAATACTAGAAGTATTATCAAATCATTAAGTGAGACTACTTGTATGTTAGAAAGGCAACCTTTGTGCGAGCTCAAATTAGATTTGAAGGGGTTTCGTGTACCGGCTGTTATATTGTATTTACAGTAAATGATAAAAACAACGATTAAAAAGTAATCAAGTCTGTAACTAAACAATAGAGAGCTCTCTTCGCCGTCGCAAGGAAAACACAATTTGAAAACGGCAAGGTTCTTAAGAGTTAAGCGTCGCCGAATTGTCTATTTTCACAGGTTTATGTCGAGAAAGTAAATAAACAGGATTAGGGCGGTGCATATAATTTTACATGAGATGATTTTATATGAGATGTATCAAGAGTTCGTTTTTATTGCGTCTTCACACGATTCGTTATCGATATTTTGTTTAATCTTTGCTGTACGCTTCACGAATTAAAAAAAATATTATTTATTATGGCTCTGAAACCGTAAAAACTTTTTACTCTGTACCCTGAGGCCTTCCATAACCCAAATGAGAAAACACGCCACGGCAAATTTAGAACAGTCCTTACCTCAAATATGTCCATGGAAGATGTGTTCTTATTTCTTTCCACAGCGTTAGAAATACTTCGTTTTATTCCAGCGGATACCGAGGCTCTTCCAAAATGTGCTACACTGCTGTTACTCTTTGAATCCAAAACTCTCATACCAAAATCCGTTGCCTCGTATTCCCCGAGGTTAATATGATCTAAATCGTCTATTAAATTCAAAGAACTCCCGTCCATTATTCTGAAAAAGAAGGAGAAAGGTAGAAGTCTTTCTTATTCGTAAAAACATTCGGAAAGTCCTGGTTGACGAATTGGCAGTGCACTCTACAAAGTAATTATGACATGCAATATTCTCTGTACCGCATTAACTGACATAAAACAACCACTAACCGTCGTCGAGAGCGCTTCATGTCTGTAAAATAAAAGCACTCTTCAAAATTTAATGACATCATTGTGTTGCAAGTCCAGCGGAGATGATTGCAAATGTCATTTCCTCTATTTTCCTTTTTCCATTTACAATAGTTCAAAATAAGATGGAATCTATTTACATATGAAAACACTGACGAACCAAATTGCTAAAAATGGTGTGGTGTTAATTCAGGTAAGGTCATAAAAAAAAAAAAATAAAAAAAATAGCGCATTCATTACAACGCTTTTACATTTTGCATAAAATGTACTTATATTAAACAAAGACCACGACTCTGTAATCAACACCAGCGGGTTAGTTATTGCAAATTTAAGTTCTCACGAATCTCAGGAGCCTCAAAATGGCATGAAAATCAAAATTGATATCGTTCACTTAAGCCACGCTTTCAGTCAAAAGTGACACAATACGTTAGACGATTAAACTCTGCATGCGTTTTATTTATCTTTTATTTTGTGATATTCGTCAACATTTAGTATAGATTAACGGCTTTAATGTCATCAGGAAAAGCGGAACGTCCACGGTAGTCTTCCTGTGGAGAAGTTATTCCATATATTGAAATAACAAGAGGAAATAAAAAGGCAAACAGAACTGAAAGAGTTTAACGAATGATTACAGTACATCTTTAAGCGCAAATCAAGTGACAGAATTTAAGTATTTTTTATCATCTCGAACATGCTTGTTTCTTAGACAGAGAGAGATTTAAGGAAAAAAACTAAATCATCTTGAAATCCTCAAAATTACTTTTTGCTCAGTGTAAAACCACCTGGACTTTCGGTGATATTTGGAATAATGAATAATCTCTAAGAGGTGTCAGAGCAATTTAAATTTAGGTGCCACTAGACGATTAGTAGAAGCTTAGGGTTAGATGTATATTTGGGGTATGTTTTGAAACAAACCACGCGTTCGGTAACAGCGATTCAAAGGCGATACAGCTGTTTCGAAAAAATCCCGTTGGACTTACATGTAAAAATATATAAGAAAACCGTGAACAACTTGACAATTAATTATTATCAACAATATTATTTTGCAGTGATGCATAAATTTGGATTGTGTACCATTGCCAAAATGTACGTTGCATGCCACTTGCAGCAGGTGGATCCAAGATACTGTCAATTTTATCCAGCTCAATTAACCCTTAATTGATTACCTTTTTACCACAGAGCTACTGAACCTTTGTACTTAATTCTCCCAAAGCAATGTCATTTTTCGTGACGTTTGCTTCAGATGACTTGCACACAAAGCATTCTGCCAAAAGCTAATACTGTATGTTTGTAATGTCATAAGTACGTATCACGAAATATTGGCCCTTTCTTAAGTGCGTCTGGATCTCAGCGTCATATGTCTTGAAAATAGATTTTTCTGACAATTAGTTAAAACTGAAATAATCCAAACCGATCGAGGCCATCTTGTAGCCTTGATTATATCACATAAATTTTCAATTTTGTCATATTGAGATGTTTCGGTTAAGTGCCCCTGAGGGACTCTCCTAGGACTTGATTGTCAATTGACTAATCAAAAATACACTAAAAACAATTTTTCGTCTTGTATGTAAGGACAAAAGGCTATGTTTTTGTTAAAAGCAAGCTTTCCCGTAGTAACTGAAATACTCTAAAGTGAAAAAACAATTCTTGCGTGAAGCAAGCACATTCAAGTTTTTTAACCATAGGCCAACACAGACGCAATCATTGCGTCAGAACTATGCGCAATCATTGAGTCAGAACTATGATTTGGTGCATAGTGTCTGTTCTAGAGACAAAATCGCGAGAGAGCCCCACAATTACATACAGTTTAAATTTATATTTAGAACTTTCTTGAATTACTGCTTGACTCCTCAAAGCTAAACGGTGAGACGACTGGAACACACTCTACAGCCGGTAAATTACAGCTCGTCTACGACTAACTTATTATAAGCAGTTTATTCGATTCAAGTTCAACCTGGACAAGACATATCGCAAATACCGCCGTTATGGCCTTCTATAGGCACAAATACTTTCACGCTTTAGCTAATGTCAATGCAATGCTCAGCCGCATTGTACAAAATCTGAGTTGAAAGCGGTATAAATACGCCACAAAGATCGAGAGATCTGTTGCATCAGCATTTTAAACAAAATATAAAGTTTAAAGCGCTACCGAATAAGTTAAAGTAAAATTGGCTCCAGGATTCGAAAAAGAAAGATATCTGTCATCTTACAATAACTCATAAACCTTACAAACTTTTAAAATTAACTATATCAGAATTGAATAAGCTCCTGTGTCATTGTCAACAGCTGGCCGCGGGTCTGATTAAGCTTGCCAATTCATTATCCGTAACTTTGATTATTCGAATGAATGCAAAAGCCATAAAACCAGCAATGACAAACGATACACCGCAGCCGTACTTAAAGGAAATAATCTTTACTTCAAGACTTTTCATTTTCGCTCATCAGTCTCGGTCAATGTCGTTGTAATGATGATCTTTACAATTCAGCTGTTCCACTGGTGTAAATGACATATTAACAAGTCGGCCATCTGAGTACATAATCATTACAACAAATTTACCAGCTGAGTAACGAAAGTATCCTTTACCTTGATCTGTCGTTGGTACGTCCAGTCTACAAATTGTTTCTTCTAATAGCAGTACACAAGGATTAATTCCAACAACCTTCAGCCTTCTTAATTCCGCAAATTTTCCGTATCGGCGATAGAGAAGTGAAAATGAATGCCTAATCACTGGGCTAATATCCGTGACCTTGCATACGTAAACTGTTTATTCAAGCTTGATGTTCAACTTAGAGAACGCTGCGGTAGGTCATTTCAAGATGATTTTGCAGACTCGTCCTTCCATTTCTCAAAACTTTCCAAACAGTTCTTCCTTAAAAAAAAAAACACATTCGTGCTCATGACAATGAAAATCTTGGATGAAAACCTCCGCATGGAGGTTGTAAGCAAATAGATGCGATAGTCACCGAAGATCTCTCAACGACAGCCGGAAGTTTGCTCTTTTGTGGACGGAGACACAGAAAAGGAGACACAAAGAGGGAGAAAAAAGAGAAGGAAGAAGAAAAATAGAAGAAAAACGAAAGACAACAATATCCAATCATCCTCATCGAAAAAAAAAAACTTTATCACTGTCAAGGATTAATTCATTGCTTGGCAAAACATAATTCCACATATTGAATAGTCCATGTACTTTCGCGAGAATAATAGTGTCTTTCTTCTGTTTTGTTCTTAACTCTGTTTGTTCAGTTGGTTATGTGTGTTCTCTATGTACGATTCCATTTCTGTTACACTACAGGAAAAAAAAAACTTTTCTTGTAACAGAGGAAGTCGCTTAACCGTTTACTCAAGTCCAACGTTTCTTGCTCAAAGACACTCTAAAACTACTTTCAGTAAACTTTCTCCTTCAATCCGTTTAAATGCACACAACTTCAATAAGTGAAAAAAAAAAAAAAACGAACAAAACAAAACAAAAAAAACAGGTTTCAAGTGATAACGTACACAGGTGTATCACGTGCATCTACAGTAGAGAACCTACATGTAAGTACATACATATATGCGGTCCAAAGTTTTAAAGTCAGTGTAAGTTTGATTTTATTTGTGTCTTATCCAACAAAGGAAAACAAACTAAGAAAAAATTGGTTTGAAAAAATTGCAAAACGGGAAGAATTTATAAACAACATGTACAGCGAGTCCCTTTCAGAGACTTGGTTTTATTTAGGTCTATTGGATGACCCAGCATGTCTTGTAGACTGGCCCTACTTTCTTTGTCTCTGCAGAGTGTCTGGCACAACAAATTCAACATATATATGTAGAGTTCTTCTTCTTCGGAGAACCACAGAGAGTCACTACTTGATATTGTTTCAGGCTTGTAAAACTGGCCCTGCTCTTTTTGCCTCCAATTGTGTGCCTGCACCAGCAAACCCTGTTCCTCCACGCTGCAGTGGAATGATGTCACTTTCTTTCAATTTCGAGCCAGTGAATGGGCACAGCATGTCTTTCTTAATTAGCTTCTCAATGCAGTCCATAGTCACCACATTTCCTGTGTTCTTTAAAACTGCACAGGGAACAGAATTACCAAGTGCATCGTGAGTAACAGCACACTTGTACCTTTCAGACTTTGCCACCATTGGTCGGTCATCACCATCATCTATCGGTGTTAGTTTGACTGCAATCAGATCCTTGATTCTCAGAGGTTTACTACTCATGGGACAGTAGGTTTTTGTATCTGGTTTCTTCAAAAGAGTGGGTTTTGCTTCAGGTGTCAAGGATGGGACCCAAAAACTTTGAAGACTTTTATCATTGCCACCTGAGCCACCTTCAAAAGAATAAAGCCAAAATATTGTTCCAAGTTAAAGCCTAAACTAAAAAAAAAATTAGGAAATGTTGTTCTTTTCTGCAAGACGCAATGGTACAGTAAGTGACTTAGACCATATCCCACATCTAATGATGTGCAAATTCAGTCCTGGTAGAGGTTCCAGAAGAAATTATTTACTAATCAGATTATTTTCTCTGTTTGATGCAAAGTACAGTAAACAGAAGCTAATTGACCCACTGTGCCAGGTCTCTGTATTATGAAGCATCTAAAAGTATTGCAACCCTCTTAATTATTTCAGATGTCAGCCTACCGATGGCAACCCCTAGCACTGTGTCAGCTTTTTCTGATCATTCACTGGTAAACATTAACAACCACTGGGTAGATGTTGATTACAGGAGAAAGTTTTTGAAATATGTATCGTCAATTTCAAATTTGGGGTTTTAAAAAAATTAAATTTGGCAAAATGAAGATAAAAGTCGGTGATTACTTGAACCCTATGTAAAATTTAGTCTTTCAGTTTTCTGTTGCTGGTTTTTATTCAGTTTAAAATTATTAAACTAAATATATTTTGCTGGTGGTAAAGAGGCATTAGATAGAGAGGTGTCCATAACTTGTTTATTTTAAGGTTTACCACTTAACCCTTTACATTCTAACATCTGTATGCATATTCTCCCTACTGATCTCAATATATTTCCTAAGGTGTTAATAAGAAGAATTTGTTTGACGATCAGAAGCTTCTTGAGTTGGTGATCATTTCCTTTTGGGGAATGCTATTCACGCTTAGGGATCTTAGGGCTACAGAGATGTGCACAAAGATTCGATTGCCATGAATATGTAAAAAAGATACTTTGAAGATTTTTATCATTGCCACCAGAGCCACCTGGGCCACCTTCAAAAGAAAATGTAAAAAAAAAAAAACTTCTCCCCAACGACTCTATTTTCTTACCACTAGAGGTAGATGGTTGCTGTTCATCAGCGACAGCAGACGATCCATTGACACTTCTATCTTTTGATGCAGTGAATGCACTCGTTGGTTTTGTGGTAAGTCGCTTCTCCATATTGACAAACGATTCAACTTTGGATTTCTCTTTTTCCTCTACCTTTCCAGCTTCTTCAGCGTCTTGCTTCTTCTTCTGCTTTTCAAAAGCTTTCATTTTCCTGGCAGCTTCGGTTTTCTGATGTAACAAACACTCTAAAATTGCCTCTCTGTCGTACAGGAACCCGTCTGGTGTCACAACTGGTTCACGACAAGGTTGTAGTGTTAAACAGCAGCAATCGAAGTTCTTTACAGAATCTCTGCCAAGGCGCACAGATTTACTGCCATATCCAGACTTTTTGGTGTCCTTCTTTCGCTCGTGATAAGTGTAAACCGTTCCTGCCGTGCAGTTTTTAGCGTGTCTAGTCATTATACTCACTAAACAAGGATGGCGAGTTTAGTGATGACTAAGCAACCAAGCTATTTCGTAAATTCTTGGCCAGGCTGCGAAGCCTAAATAATTTCATTAGGGAGGGGTGAGGAAAATAGTGAGAACGAGTTTCGACGTTGGTTTTCATCAACGTTCACGTATAAAAATCATATAGCCTGCTGATGAGAAATATTTTTCCTAAAAATATCTACATACATTTATTAAAAAAAATAATCGTTCTGCATTCAATAACACAAGTTTTAGAGTAACTGCCATACCCCCACTCTACCCCGCTTGTTCTCACTCATCTCGACCAAGATGGCTTCCAGAAGGTTATTCCATATCGCACGAGGATTGTATGGCCTGCGATCAGTGCAGCCATCCCGTCCGGCCAAACTTGCTAGAGCGTACTGCTCAGGTAAGTTTTGAGTTTCTTCCTCCAAGGATCTCGCTTTTGTCAGATGTACTTTACTTACTCGCCAAAAAAAAAATTTTAAAAATACAGAAACCCCATCCGCGCGGAATACCGTGGGACTAATGGATTCAGCAGATTTGGTTTTAATCAGCTTTACTCTTTAGCCCCTGAGAATGACTAGCATGTAATTTCTTACAAAGGTATTGGAGCTGAATCAAACATTAGGCTCATGAGAATTAAGGAAATGATCGCAAACATGAAAAGCTGTTGATTTTGAACCAAATTCTCCTCGGTAATGCCATAATAAATGTATAAAGAACAGTATGGAGAATATAAATGCTGATGTTTGGTTGTGGAGGTTCAGTGACTTTCTCTTTAAGAGTCAAGTTGTTTGGTGAGTTGTCCATCTAATCTGAACATAGGTTCATTCATATAGCAATAGTAATTAATAGTTTCCAGTTATTGCAGTAGCTATAAAAGTTTTGTGGGGTTGTAAAGTGGGGAAGGGGGATTAAATAAATGTCTGAATAAATGACTGTACATATATGAACCAACGAGAAGCAGGTCACTATGTTGGATTCAAATAAACCCTTCAAGTGGTGAATACATGACTGTAAATATATGAAAATCATATATTACATATTAACATCATTTAGTTGGTAGAGTGCAGCACCGGTATAGCAGAGGCCATGGGTTCAAATCCTGTACAGGCCTGAATTTTTTTCAGGCCTTAATTTAACTACTAGTTAATTAGTGTTTATAACTGCAAGGATTGCTTCTTTACTCGTAAATGTCTTAATGTCTTTGTTTGTGTCTGTTCATTTGTTGTTTTGTTTGTTTGTCTTTTTTTTTATTTCTGGAGTCTCAGTTTCTGGACTATAAATTAAACTAAGAATATACAAGCATTACCCTACCCTATAACTCCCAGAGGTGATAAACATCCAACTTCTCTCTATGGTATCCATGCATTTTACAACAAACAGGTAAGGAGAATACTCAAACTTATCAGGTAGAAGTTCCTTCCTTGATCCACCACCAAATTCTCGTAACTAATGTACAAGGAAATCTGTAGCAGTCAGAAGGGAGAATTAACAATCAGATTTTGGGAGTTCAAAGGTTAAGAGGTGTATGTACACATGTACCAAACAATAACATTTGAAGTGAATTATTTCTCGAGAATAAACTTCATACTTTTCTCAATTTATTGTTAGCATCAAAAACATTTGAAATGATCAAGGCAGAGAAAAGGGGTGAAAAACAAAATGTTGGCTTTATCCAGCTCAACCGACCCAAGGCATTAAATGCACTCTGTGATCAGCTGATGTCAGAGTTGCAGGATGCCCTTGATGACTTTGAAACTGACAAGAATGTTGGTGCCATTGTTATCACAGGAAGTGAGAAAGCTTTTGCTGGTAAGTGAAAAGAAAAACAAGAGAAAAGTCTTAGAGGTGTATTGTACCTTCAAGGGTGTAGTAAAGGGGGTCCTGGGTGCCAATAACCCCTTCTCCATTTTGTAAGCCTTTTTTTAAGCAAAACACAGCATGGGGGTTGATGTGACATTTTGATGAGTACTCTGTTTGACACAATGTGACCCCCTTTGAAAAATCCTGGCCATGCCCCTGATCTTATAACATTAGTTACATGGTCAAATACTAAACAGGGCTTTTTTAATCATCATATTCTTTGATTTTTGCAGGATGTATGACCATGTCATTTTAATCCTTTCAATTTAACAAAATTTTTATCTTGTGTAGGACTTAAATATTATTGGTTACCTTCAGTTTACTGCTGTGGTATTAGCTATCAACTAGGAATATGTTTAGTTTTGGTTGACTGAAATGTTCAAACTTTTCTTAATCCAAATTTAATTCAAATACAAAAATTTTCTGATGTTCCTTGCCCACATGGATTTGATCTGGTGTATGAAGTTTTGTTATCAAGAGAAAACTTTTTAAAGTTTATTGTCATATCTTTTTACAATTCAAGTTGATTTTTTATCAATGAATAAAGGGGGTTTTTCTAAAGGAACTGTGGTGCTGCTTTGGTGGTAGAGTATAACAGGGTAATTTAGTAGTATCAACTGAGTTGAATCTGAGCAAATTGCTCTGAAGAAGGGCAATGCTCAAAACATCACCTTTGATACTCTTTAGGGTGGCCAATTTATGCTATCAACTAAGTTGATAATATTAAATTACCCTGATTTTTGATTTGCTTTGCAGTGAATTTTATACTCTTAAAGCGAGCAAAGTATAGTCAAGAATTTTCTTTACTCCCATTATAGCTGGAGCGGATATTAAGGAAATGCAGAATTTAACATATCAGAAGTGCTTGTTGGGGGATTTCCTTGCTCACTGGACTCGAGTGGCTCGTTGTAAGAAGCCTGTCATTGCTGCAGTCAATGGATTTGCGGTAAGACTAAAGAGAGATTGAGTTTTGCTATATAATTTTGAATGGGATGCCAGTAGTCTCAGTTATTGGTGCAAATCACCAGCTCAGAGCTCAGATTGTCCAATAATCAAGAGATTATTTTGTAGCTGTCACTGTGTCATTAAGGGTGACAAACAAAGTTTGTCTTTTTTTTGTTGCATAATTGAAGTCTATTGTACAATACTTTCTTCACAGCTTGGAGGAGGATGTGAACTAGCCATGATGTGTGATATCATTTATGCTGGAAACAAAGCTAAGTTTGGTCAAC